GCATTGTTTCCGACCTACCGATCGGGAAATTCCTTGTAATCAGACTGGTTAGTTAATACAAGTGAGCTTTCGAGTATTAGTGAGTTCATATCTTATATTTTTTATACACTTTGATTCTGTACCATTCCTGATATATCCAAAGTTCGTGTTGGGCTTTCGGATCTACGGGATTTACCCTCAACACATGTTATACTAGGTTGTAGCCGGTTATTCAAGAGATATTACCTGAAATAGGACGAAAACAGTTTGAAAATTCCAAAATAGGACTGCAATGTTTTTATTCCCAGAGATTTCCCAAAATAGGAGTAAATGAAGTTTGAAATTCCAAAATAGGACTACTTTGTTTTTATTCCCGAAATGGGACTAACATGACAGTATTTACTATCATCTTGTAGCCGTGACTGCCAAGTAGTTGCAATACAGTGCATTTAACATGACAGTATTTATACAGTGCGGGAAGGTAATTGGGTGGCTTATTTTTTGGCTTCAAATGGGTCGGCCCAATTGAAAGAGTGCTATGATGTTGGAGAGATCTGGGATACAGCCAAACGGGCCTACTATATGGATATTTTTGGTCTTCCATCTTTTAGATATTTATTTTAGATTGTATTTTTGGGTCAGGTCTAGCCCCCCAAAAATTATTTGTTGTTCTTTATTCTCTCGTTTAATTTTCTCTGTATCTCGATATGAAAGGGTATACCCTTTCTGAAGAGGTTTTGGTATAGTCCCCCTCTTCTTTGTATCCTTTTTGCATATTAATAAAACATGGAAAACGTTCTCCGACGTTTGCCCCACTGATTTTGGTGGTTTGTTTTCCGGGTTAAAAAAAACATGACAGTATTTATTATAATTAATGACAGTATTTTTCAATCATGACAGTATTTTTCATACATGACAGTAATAACTCCTATTTCGGGAAGAAAAACATACTAGTCCTATTTTTGAAATTCCAAGTGTCATTTGCTCCTATTTTGGGTAATTTCCCTAAGGATTATTATTGGAAAATGATCTCTATATAGTTGTGAGTATAAAAAAAATAATCGATACTTGAAATTATTAACAACGGAACATCAACAGTTGGATTGTTATTTTCAATTTTCCTATACTCAATTATTTTCAAATTTGCACATTAAACGCTAAGAACTTTCTCTCTATCTAGCTCTCACTTCTTTGGAATTATACTTTATCAATGTCAAATGGAAAAGTTGAACATGTATAAGGAAATTCGTTTATACATACACAAAAGTATAATAAAAATAAGGCACCGTTTACACTATTATACGTGGTACTAGAGCACCGTGCACAAGTAGTACCCCATGCACCATGAACATTGTAAATAGGATTATGCTTTGTCTAACTAGTAACTACATGTAAAAAACAAAAATACTTGGTGTAATTTATGTTATGTTTTTGTGTCAATGTCATTATTAACGGTGTAAATATGAAGGAACAATATGTATAAAAAATATAAATAGTTCGAATTTGATAAAAATGTGACACATTACATTACAAATGATATTATGAAAGTCAAATATTTCATTAAAGAAATAATTGCATATATATGACTAAACTAAAGATTATTTACAAAAATGTGAATAATGATCAGAATAGTAATTTAATCATAGTAACTTATGTTCAATTTTTAAATCTAAGTTACTATGACACTACATTGTACGTAGTAGTAACTATTTGCCATACTTGTGTAAATAAGATTTATTTTCATAATATTTTTGAAAAAAACCCTTAATTAAATTACTTTGTATGAAATATAAACTAGATGGATAAAATAAGAACTAGATGAGATCATGGTCGCATTCCAAAAACTAGTCGTGATTGTTATGTCACAAGTAATAGCTACATCTGCAATATCTTGCCACCCATACTTGATATATAAGTTGTTTTCTTATACAGGAAAGATTGCTCTAGTTGTTTTCTTTACGGATTTTGCTCCTCTCCATTAACTTGGAGAGGAATATGACCCAAATTTGACTGCAAATTACATTAATTAAACAATATCCATTAATCACACTTTTGAACCTAATGTTTTTAAGTGAAGTTAGAAAGCTTTTGGGAACCAATAATGCTGCCGGTGTGGGCACTTCATGATATATTTAGGAGCCGTTTTACATAACTGAAATCGTGGGGTTTCCATCCCTGGAACTTCTCTTTCATCTTCAATGGTGAGCAGCTGGGATTATGGGCTTCTCTGTCTCTAGGTTTGTCACTGGTTTAGGCTCTGAAGGGCTTCCATTTTGGTTTGATTTGGGTGAATTGAAGGATTTGGAAGAGCCAAAACAATATTCGTAGTTGCCAAAAGCTTTCAACCCTTCTTCTAGATTTTCTGGAAAGGTAATACCTATAGTCTCAGATTGATTCTCTCGAACTCCATCACATCAAATCCAACTCTTTTATAACAGTAATCCCATTTGGCATATTCTAAATGAAGCCAAACAAAGGGCGGATCGTGGATGGTTATACATATGATCGTACTCGCCCCATTTCGTAACTTCTCCGCCTTGTAAACGCCCTATTACGCAACAGGTAATTTTTATTCAAATCACAACATACTCAATTATTATTGAGGATAACCTCTTTATTAACCGAGTCCTTGATATTTTAATATAAAAATTATTATTTTAATAGACAAAAAAGTGGCATAGCCTAGATAACTCTCGACATGAGATGCAACATAAAAGTTTCGTGCATCTACAAGACAAGAAAAAAGACAATCTAAATTAATTTGAAACTAAAAATACTTAAATTGAAAAATAATCAATCAAGAAAAAATTTGATAATAACTAAACGAGACTATTAAAATCTAATATGAATGTTCCGTTAGTACATCCATATATACACAATGAAAAGAGAAAAATCTCATCTTTTATTAATTGTGGGAAAAATAATAGAAAGAATGTAATAAAAATATAAGTAAGAATAAACGGGGCAGACATGTATGTATAAAGCCTTAACCGCCCCGTTACTTGTAAAAATAAAACAGATATTCTCCATCCCTTACCTGATCAATGGAATTTTCCTGATTTTGATCGAAGTCGTTGATGTAGGTATCATCAGATCAGTAACAATTATCATCCCTAAATATGATTATGCAAAAATAAAACTAGTATGAATAGAAATAAGATTCAGTCAGAGTATCTTTCCGGTCAATCTAAAATTTGAAACTTTCAATTTCAATTTAAAGTGTGAAAAGAAAGATTACACTGGCTGAATCTTATTATTATACACAAGAATCCCACATCTAAATGATTAGATTTGAAACCTAATGTTTCCATTTGAAATTAAAAACCCTTGAAAATCCACAATACCGCCGGTGTGGGTGAGATGCATTTAGGTGCAGTTTTATTTCTTCTTCTCGTCACCTCTCGCATTTTGGCATCTTTCTATCTCTAGATTTGTCACTGGTTTAGGCTCTGAACAGCTTCTATTTTGGTTTGATTAGGGTGAATTGAAGGATTTGGAAGAGTCAAAAGCTTTGAACCCTTCTTCTAGATTTTCTGGAAATTTAATTCCTAGCTATAGTCTGAGATTGATTCTTCGAATTCCATCACATACGAAGTATATCCTTATTTTATAACAGATAGTAATCCCCTTCGGCATATTCCAAATAGAGGTGTAACAATTTTAGTGCATTCAATCTATTTCATAAAATACACGGTACGGCCGGCTGTACCGTGCGCACGGTACAGCCGGTCTTGTTTTGGGCTTTGCGCTTCTTCATTCCGTATCAGAAGAAGATCCGACTTCACATCAACCTTCGCACCAGTTTCTCCGATCTAGCTTGGTTCTTCGATCTGGCTTCACCACTGGCTGACTGTCGTCAACGCACCACTGATTTCTTTTGCTCGTCGCCGCCGCTCATGGCTCATCCCCCTCTTCTCTAGCACGGAAGCAGCATATCCGTCTGCGCAATTACTTCTCCTCCCTCTGTCTTTCTTTTCACTATTTTTTCGGTTTTCTCTTTTTCTTATTCAGTTTTGCTGTTTGAGATTGCGAATTTGGAAGACAAAGAGAGCCAACTGCAGACAAAGGAATCCTTACTGCTATTGATCTCAAATAATGAGTTTTATATCAAACTCAAATGAGTATACACATAAAAGAAATGAACATACACAACTGAATACTAAGCACGTTAAAAATGAGTTTTATATTAAATTCAAATGAGTATACGCATAAAAGAAATGAATATACACAACTGAATATTAAACACATTAAAAATGAGTTTTATTTTAAACTAAAATGAGTATAACACCTGAAATCAATGAGCATACACAAATGACCTTTTGAATTTTTTGATACTCATTTTGTAAATTATGTATGCTCATTTGGTACTGCTTTATGCTCATTTTAAAATGTTGCACATATCAAACATATCATACTAATTAAACTCATATATTGAAATTGATTATAAACATCATTTAACATTTTTTTATAAACGAAAAAATAATAAAAAGAAACTGAATTAGAAGATATGAAGCAGAGATCACCGGTGCTCATTATTAGGCTCCCAATACTCAAAAGAACAGACTCGATGCTCATGAAAATTGCATCAATGCTCATTCAAGAGAAATCATGATTTTCACCAAAATTATAAGTTTGCCACCGGCTGTACGGCCGGCACCGTACAACTGGTTGTACCATATACGCTTCCCTAGCTTTCTGTTCAGCCAAGTTTGCTATCTCTGCTAATAGGATGAACCCCATAAAATTCTTCATGTTAGAATAAGAAGGGATGAATTACGAAGACACTTCAAAAACAGCACAGCAGGTATGTATAATTGATAATGCCTGGATGATTGATTGGCCGGTTGAACTTAAACGAGTTCTAATTCAAACCTTAAATATTGAACATAGCATTTCCACAAATTCAAGATCCCCACTATGCTCTGTTTATCCTAGGGAAGGGTAAAAAACCCCAGATAACCGATTAACGGAATTAAAAACCGAAAAACCGAATTGTTTTTTTGGTTAACCGTACCATTTTTTTTTTGAAGAAAGGTAATTAATTACTATTAATCAAATCATAATTCAGTACATCAACAATAAAATGAGGAGGACTAAATAACCAATACTAACAATCAGGCATAGAACTCGTTGCCCTTGCCATCGCATGAGCTGCTCGATTCGCAGATCGTCTAACATCAGAAAAAGACACGCTATCAAAACTTGTCTTCAATTCTCTAATATCATCAGCTAAAAGACCAGAATATGATAAACTTTTCCCATTTTGAATTTCCTGAATTGCTTGAAGGGAATCTGATTCCACCTCAATCAAATTCCACTCTTTATTTTTCAGCCAGCTAAGTGCTTCCCTGATGCTCATTAACTCAGCTTCAAGAGGAGTAAAGACACCCATACCCGGCCTACCACCGCCTGCAAGAAAGAAACCATCTGCATTCCTTAAAATCCAGCCGAATCCACACCTTTCTTTCCCAACAGAGGCATCGACATTAATATCTAGATGTCTTAAATTTATCCTCTTCACCCATTCCACAGCCTGTTCGAACACTATCTCCAGAAGTTGTTCAACTTCCACCGCCGCAACACGCACCGGATATCCTTCCGCCGCCACTACCTCCCCTTTATGGTCCCTTAGTAAGAAACCAGCTGAGTTCTGACCATCGTGGTTGAGCTTAAACGACCCCAGTCGCGGCTTGACCTATCGGAAAACCTGGGGCTTTCTAGCCCTGAAACTGCCAGGTAAGAGACCGGCTCTCTTTAGTTTCAAGCATCCATTTAGATTTTCATTCGCATAGCACCATGCAACCATACATTTGCAGATCTGATTGATGACTCCGTCGTCCCTAGTCGGCAGTTACTCGGCACCCCTCCTTCCAAATAGTATCCCAGTAGCATTTCCAAATCTGCCAAACAATCACCCCAGGTAATATTGCAAGATAAATTTTGTCCATCGATTTACCTACACCCATAGTCCACCACTTTAAAATTTCAACTTTAACCTGATGTGTTCTTTGCCCTCCCTGCAGAAGAGACTTTTCAAAGAATTCCCATATGGGAGGGGGGCAGCTGCCCCCAATAAAGACCCACTAATTTCCTCTAATTTGTTTATAAATATTAAAAGTTCAAATTTTTGCCCCAAATAAAAAAAAGGATGGCCCCCAATCAACCCATGATCCTTCTGCCCGCTCTAGAATCCAAGAGGTAATGGGTAATCCAAGAGGTAATGGGTTAGCTGCACACCGTTGATGGATAAAAACATCTTCACATTATTTTTTATTTTCTTTTACGAGTATCAATTAATCAATTTATTGTTGGTGTCTTGACTTTGATTGCTTTTGATGGTTGGATACTTGTTTAGTTGTTATACATCCGTATGTGATCATTGTGTTGTTTACTTATTTAAGGCTATTCAATAGTTTTTAACTTCTATTTAAATATAAGTATTATTTTTTTTTAATTAAACTTATTACTCCGTATAATATTGTTAATGTATATAGGAGTATTGATTTATATCAATTGGATATAAATTTTTTAGAAGGATCGATTAGATTTATTTTAAGTGTTTTCAAAAATATTACTATTATAAAACTCATTTACACAAATATGACTAATAGTTACTACAACTAATGTAGTGTCATGAACTTAAGTGTAACAGTTGAACATAAGTTACTATAATTTCGTTCATAGTCTAGTCACTAGTCACATTTTTATAAAAAATCTTTATTTTAATCATAAATATGTAATTTGTCTAATGTTTTACACTATTAGAAAATAGAAAATGTCATTTAACAATTAAGATAGAATTCCTAAATGTAACTAATATGTTATTTTAGGTGGTTAATTAAAATGTATTAATGTGTTAAAAAGACTTTGCTTAATATAACTTGTTCTAGAGACTCAATGAAGAGATATTGGGCTACCGTTCTTTCATCTACACCTGATAGTTCAAATAGTAATGTTTCTAATAGTGCTTCTTAATGTTCTCTACAATAATTAAAGAATTCGATTTAGAAGAGCTTGCCTTAGATCTCACAAAAAGGAGAAAAATTTAAGGATATCATCCTAAACAAATAGATAAAATCTGGAGAAAATATTTGATTAAAGGATCTTGTCTGCCACGTGGTCATGACTTCCCACAAAAACTGTTTCAAATGATACTGTAATGGATCTCTTCCAAAAGATGAAAACTCGGCGCAATTTTTTTGATGTATTTTGTTAAAACTTTTGCTATTTTAATATTACATTAATATTATTTTTCTAACGCATTTTTTAATTACTCTGCCCCCAATAACATATAATCCTAGATCCGTCACTGCCTCGAAAAGGAACAATTCAGAAGGACATGATCCTGCGATACTGAATCCACCTTACAAAAAGGATACTGAGAAGGGTATGCCACCACAAATTTGGCTAGCCTTTCTGGGAAAGGCAGACACCTGTGCCACAACTGCCAGAGGAAGACCTTCACCTTAGGAATTTGTTCAGAGTGCCAAATATTTGTATTTGATATAGTCCTCCCCCTGACCAGAAAGACATGTATGCTGACCTCACACTGAGAATCCCATTAGATCTATGCTTCCACCGGATAGAGGAAGTGTCACGTCCCGGACCTACCCGGACACGCCAACAACCCGCCGTATAGTACGAATAGCCAACCGCAGTCCAACTCATCCATACTATACAAGGCGTCTTGAATACCATTCACACATAGTACATCCATAAATAAACATAATGTAAAATAAACATTTATAGCAGCGGAAACATTTAACACAAGTGTTTATGCCACACCTTGGCAAACATGGGCATACAAGCCCCAGATAATTATTCAAAAAATGATATCCATGAGCATTATTTAAATTGTTTTCAAAACAGAAACGGAAGAAGCACGAACCACGTCTTCTTCCTTGATCTTCCCGAAACAACGGGCGGTGGCAGCAACCTTCAAGTTCTACCTGAAACTGTGAGGTGGCCTCCCCCGTGAAGGGGAGGTCAGTACTTGGAAATATTTGACAAGTACAATAGCAACTATACTAAGTATAATTCATGTTTCAATTTCTAAGACCCTCAATTCAGGGTGATATTACATTATAGGTCATAACCCTTGGTTACCCCTTCTTGTTATTTGAATCATACTTACTTTGTATGAAGTCAAGTAGTCGGCCCGTGGGCCCATATTCATTTAGAATTCATCATTCCCATACCCCCATGACCGCAAGTCATGATAATCCCGTGGGGTCTCATCGAGCCCCAATTGTATAGCAAGGGCTCGGCCCAACTACATTTCTATACAATCCTCTAACTCAATAAAACACATCAAAATTGTATGGCAAGGGCTCGGCCCAACTACGTTTCCACGGAGATCACATATACATGGCAAGGGCTCGGCCCAACTACGTTTCCATGCTAATCACATTACATGGCAAGGGCTCGACCCAACTACATTTCCATGCAATCCTAGAGTCCAACTCTACTTTATTTTCATAGTCCAATTCTCAAGCAAATCCTATGCCTAGAATCAATTCACTTGGGTAGCCTTTAGGCCTACCCTTACCACACCTTAGTGTTCATACAATTCAACCTTAAAGTATCTCTTAGGACTACTTAAGGCATACCCATTCACAATCCTATTTCTTAGGATTAATTCCATCATTTATTTATATTAATCTCCCGACTAGTATTCCAACACTAGTCGGATAATCTTAGAATCGCCAAGTTCTTAACTCATAGCCAAATAATTCATCTCAATTGATTTTCCAATCCAAATATAATTTAACCCAAATATCAAAAATATCACTTTTAACCATTCATGAATTTAATACATGAAGTAAAAGTATAGTTTATCACAATATTATCATAGTTAATCTCATCATCATACCATCACCTTCATATCACATAATCATACACAATTTACTCTAAATTTGTATATCATGCTTCACTTTTTCACATGCAATAGTGTTTTCATTTAGGCATTATTATTCATTAATAATCCATGAAAATCACATTTAATAACTTAGGTAATCTTACGAAATTAACCCAATAATTATAAGCAATATAGTCAGCCATCCTCACCTCGTGATGTGCTACAATAGTTGCCTTTGTTAAGCCCCTCGATCAATCCCCATTCTAGGCCGATTGAAAGCGGAAAATTGGACTGCTAGGCAAAAGCCGGGCGGCTTTCACGAAAGCCGGGCGGCTTTCGTGGTCTGCAACTACGACTAGCTCCTTTAAAGTGGCGGTTTCCGGCGATTTCGACTCCTATCGATTTGCCAATCCTTCTAAGTTAATTACCGCCACTTTATATCAATATTCTACACTTTTAAACGTGTAGAACTCGTGGTTTAATCCACCATATGATTTCTTAAAAATCATACAACATAAACTAGTTAAAAGAAATGCTTAATGAGTTCTTACCCAACTCCTAGCTCTCCCCCCTTGGATTCTCCTTCCTCCTTGCTTCCCTTGAGCTGGAGCTTTGTGGAGATTTTTCCTAGAGCTTATCTCCCTGTGGTTGAGTTGTGCGGATGGTACAAGTGTGGTAGGGGATGGTCCTCAATCAACCACAATATAATTGTGGAAGATATGACTTGGGGGGTATGGGTTTTGTCTCAATTGAGACTTCCCACCTAATATGCACGCCCCTAGCTGCCTCCTTGGTCCTTTGTAATACATAAAATTGTGGGGTGGCCCCCACTCATGTGGGAGGTCATCCCATTCTGCCCCGATGTGTATAATCGGCCCCGAAAGTTGTATTTTTCGGACTATTTTAGTCATATTTTATTTTATCGGACCAAATAAAATATATCACGTGTTCCCAATAATTATGGGCCTTTAGAATAGATGTACATTACCCAACATTAATTTAGGAGTCCCCGAAACTCACTTCAAGCTGTTATCCGCTAAATTACCAATACCGGTAATTGGGCCCCGTTTGATCGACCGGTCAACTCCATGACTTTCTTATGGCCCAAAAAGGATATCCACCACCATATAGATGTCATCTAGACCATGATGAATATAGTATGTGGTTCGGGAATTATCGGGCGGTCCCCGTTCCCTCCGTGGGTCTCACATGCAATTTGCTATTCACGTAAAAGAAATAATAAAATTTAACAATTACGTAAATTCATAAATCATCTTTCAAGGTTTACTACATCATTTACCAAAAGTAAACATGCTTGGAAGCGGTGTCACAGGAAGGACCTCTATCCACCATATCTTCTGCCTCCAAATGGATTTGGCAAATCCTTCTCCAAATAGGAGAATCTGGAGGCTTAGACTCCCCAAGACCCTCCTGCCATATTTACTTGCATAAGATTGGACCAGATTGATTCCCCATTCTGAAAATCCCACCAAAGCTTCATTCCCGAGACTTTCCGGATATCAGCCAATGATCTGATGCCTACTCCCCCAACCTGTGTAGGTTTACTTAACCTCTTAATACTAGCCCAGTGATATTAAGGCTTACCTTCTTTAAATAAAATATACTGTAAAAAATATTTATACTTCATAATAATAAATAAAATATACTATAAAAAATATAATTTTATTCTTATAGAATCAATAATGTTATCTGTGTTGCAAATTTGTAATATAATTAAAATATATACTTCATATATATAAATAAAATATACTATAAAAATATATATATATACTTCATATATATAAATAAATTATACTATAAAAAATATTTATACTTCATAATAATCAAAGATAATAACTAAATCAGAATTTAAAACACCATCACAATATTCCAAAATATAATTTTATTCCTATAGAATCAATAATGTTATCTGTGTTGTAAATTTGTAATATAATTCACAACATTAATTTCCGAATATATCACACGTTTTTATATTGGAATTGAATTTTTATTACATTTTTAAATTGTATTTTTATTAGATTACAAATACTTAATAATTACAAAAATTTTGAAAAAAATATCCCAAACCAAATTTTCCCACATCAATCAGATTTTTCCACTCTAAGACTCTGATTTTCCCAACTTATCTTATATTTAAAAGAACTACATATCATAGAGGAAATTCTATCGATCAATTACTCCGTATTAATTTGCTTATCTTACACCTAAAAAAACTACATATAAAAGAAAAAAATTCTCGCTCAATTATTAGTCCGCATATCTTATCTTATCTTATACTTAAAAGAATTACGTATGAGAGAGAAAATTGTTCCGCCTAATTATAAGCATGTTTATCTTCTTATATATAAAAGCACTACGTATGAGAGAGAAAATTCTCTCATTCAATTATTAATCCGCTTATCTTCTTATACATAAAAGTACTACACATGAGAAAGAAAATTATTTCGCTCAATTATTAGTCCCTTTGTCTTATATCTAAAAGACTACGTATGAGAGAAAAATTCTTTTGCCCATTTATTAGTCTGCTCATCTTATTATACCAAAAATCACTACATATGAGAGAAAAATTTTCTCGCTCAATTATTAGTTCGCACATCTTATTTTATCCTATCTTATACTTAAAAGAATTACGTATGTGAGAAAAATTTCTCCTGCACAATTATCAACACGTTTATCTTCTTATATCTAAACATACTACGTATGAGAGAGAATTCTCACGTCCAATTATTAGTCCACTTATCTTATACATAAAAGTACTACACATGAGAGATGAAATTCGTCTGGTTAATTATTAGTCTGTTTATCTTATACTCCCTCCGTCCCAATTTGTAAGACCCTTTACGGTTTACGATGTTTGGCCGACGATAAAGCAAATGGATCCATGTCCGCACTCAAATTATTGTAGGAAAAAAAATAAATATTCAGAAACTACATTAAAAGCTTTACAAAGTTGCAAATGCCAAAACCAAATTTGTTAAAAATTTGATATAGAAAGTAAGAGATTAAGAGTGATTTGTGTTGACCAAGTGAATATGAAACATGTCTTACAAATTGGGACTGAGTGGGTACCTAAAAACACTACATATGTTAGAGAAAATACACTTGCTCAATTATTAGTCCGCTTATTGAGTGTATTTAAAAACCCTAAATATGAGAGTTAAAATTATCCAGCTCAATTATTTGCCTATTTATCTTATATCTAAAAGACAACATATGAGAGAGAAAACTCTCCAGTTCATTTATTGTTCTGCTTATCTTATACAAAAAACCACTACATATTAAAGAGAAAATCCTTCCGGTCATCTTCTTATCTTTTTATACTTAAAAACACTACATATAAGGGTCTCGGGAGATTTCCCACAATAGGAGTAAATGAAGTTTAAAATTCCAAAATAGGATTACTGTGTTTTTAGACCCGAAATGGGACTAACATGACAGTATTTACTATCATCTTGCAGGTGTGATTGCCAAATATGTGATTAGAGATGACAACGGGCGGATCGTGGACGGTTATACATATAATCGTACCCGCTCCGTTTGGTAACTTCCCCGCCCTGTAAACGCCTAATTACTCAACAGGTAATTTTTATTCAAATCATAACTGCCTCAACGGGTAACAATTATAACACTACAAAAAAACACACCGTTTGTCACGGATTTTTGTCACGGATTCCGGCCGTGACAAAGTTGTCACGGGCTTTGTCACGGAATTTTGGGATTTGTCACGAAAATTATTTGTCACGGATAAATCCGTGACAATATTTTGTCACGGATTTGGTCCGTGACAAATTTACTCCGGCGACCGGTGTTTTACTCCGGTGAATACTTTTTTTGCTTCCGGGCATTTGTCACGGACAGATCCGTGACAAATCCGTGACAAATTCCAAAAAAACTCAATTATTGATTTTCCAGCGGTAACCTTTAATAATACGGTATGGAAAAACATTTGTCACGGATAAATCCGTGACAACTCCGTGACAAATTTCAAAAAAACTCAATTATTGATTTTCCTGCGGTAACCTTTAATAATATGGTACGGAAAAAGATTTGTCACGGATAAATCCGTGACAAATCCGTGACAAATTTTTTTATATAACCCAACTCCATCGTCCATTACAATTGCAAGAACAACAATTATCAGTTCAAAAATTCGTAGATTCAAGTGATGTAGTATCGGTTTAAAGATTGAATGATGTAATCCGTAAGTTCATCATTTTCCGAGTTTATGCAGATAAGGTATGTCATTTTAACTAATTTCTTTTAATTGTGTGATAAATTAATTATTAGCTTAATAATTAATTATTATTAGTGAGGTTAGGATTCTTTTTTCTTTATATAATAATAATTAATTATTAGCTTAATAATTAATTAGTGAGGTTAGTTGTTCATTTATTTAAACTATTAACGTAATTTAGTGAGGTCATGTTAATTTTCATATTATTAACAATATATTATTAAACTATTAATGTAATTTAATTAGTTAAATTTAAATATAAATATTAATTAGTTAAATTATTGTTATTATTAATGCATAATAATTTAGGATGTGTAGTGATGATTTAAGTATTAGCTAGCTTATTATAGATTAATTAATTAGTGACTTGTAGTGATTTAATTAATTAGTTAGCTAGCTTAATTATTAGGTTATTAATTATCACCAATTATTATTTATTAGCAATTATTGTTAATGGGATGCATAATATAGCTAGCTAGCTAGGATTGAAACTTTATTATTATTTAGTTTAGTGTGAATTATTATTGTGAATTATTAATGAGATAATATTTAACAATAATATTAGTTAAATGTAAATTAATTAAAACATTGAGGAAATGGGTTTAGAATTTGATGAGTTGATAATATTAGTTAGATTTAAATATTAGTTAATTGATCAATGATGATGATTAGGTTTAATTTTTTTATTAATTAGTTAATTATTGTTAATGCATAATTTAGGATTTGTAGTGATTTAAGTTAGGATTCAAACTTTATTAGTTAAGTGTGAATTAATGATATTTAACAATATTAGTTAAATGGAAATTAACTAAGTAATAAGTTAAATTAGTTAATTAATTAAAACATTGAGGAAATGGGTTTAGAATTTGATGAGTTGATAATATTAGTTAGATTTAAATATTAGTTAATTGATCAATGATGATGATTAGGTTTAATTTGTTTATTAATTAGTTAATTATTGTTAATGCATAATTTAGGATTTGTAGTGATTTAAGTTAGGATTCAAACTTTATTAGTTAAGTGTGAATTATATATTATTGTGAATTAATGATATTTAACAATATTAGTTAAATGGAAATTAACTAAGTAATAAGTTAAATTAGTTAATTATTGTTAATGAGATGCATAATATATATAGCTAGGATTGAAACTTTATTATTATTTAGTTTAGTGTGAATTATTATTGTGAATTATTAATGAGATAATATTTAACAATAATATTAGTTAAATTTAAATTAATTAATTAACTAATTAAGTTAAGTTAAAACATTGAGGAAATGGGTTTAGAATTTGATGAGTTGATAATATTAGTTAGATTTAAATATTAGTCAATTGATCAATGATGATGATTAGGTTTAATTTGTTTATTAATTAGTTAATTATTGTTAATGCATAATTTAGGATTTGTAGTGATTTAAGTTAGGATTCAAACTTCATTAGTTAAGTGTGAATTATATATTATTGTGAATTAATGATATTTAACAATATTAGTTAAATGGAAATTAACTAATTAATAAGTTAAATTAGTTAATTATTGTTAATGGGATGCATAATATATATAGCTAGGGTTGAAACTTTATTTTTATTTAGTTTAGTGTGAATTATTATTGTGAACTATTATTGTGAATTATTATTGTGAATTATTAATGAGATAATATTTAACAATAATATTAGTTAAATGTAAATTAATTAACTAATTAATTAAGTTAAAACATTGAGGAAATGGGTTTAGAATTTGAGTTGATAATATTAGTTAGATTTAAATATTAGTTAATTAATTGATCAATGATGATGATTAGGTTTAATTTGTTTATTAGTTAATTATTGTTAATGCATAATTTAGGATTTGTAGTGATTTCAGTTAGGATTCAAACTTTATTAGTTAATAATTAAAACGATTAATGCCATTAACATATTACTATTAGTTAAATATTAGTAAATTAACGCTTTTAGTTAATGTCACAAATTAACGCTTTTAGTTAATGCCACGAATTAAATAATGTACTGCTTTTAGTTAATTAATAATATTAATGTACTTATATATTATTTTGATTATAATATATATACAGGCATAATGTATAGACAAAACAGAAGTTGGATGTACCAAAAATATCGCGATAACTATGAAACACGCAGTGAATTTTTGAATGGTGTTGAAGATTTTATTAAATTTGCACAAGAACAGAAGAATTATATGGATGGAGATAAAATCAGATGTCCATGTACAAAGTGTAAAAATATTCAATTTAAAGATGTCGACCAAGTTGTGTGGGATTTGTACGAAAAAGGTTTCGTTGCCAATTATTATAATTGGACTTCTCATGGCGAACCTTTCGATCCATCACTTTTACCACAAACAGTAGATTCATCTCGTAACGTCCCTACCGAGATGAGTGGGTGGGGAGACTATGATCAAATGACGTGGGATCAAAGAATGGCATATGATGTATACGGTGCTTCAACGATGCAGTTTAACCCACCACAGCCATTTAACGATCTTCCCGAAGCTTCGACCTCGTATGAACCCGATGCGGATGAAGATCAGACCTTTTATCAGTCTGCTGCGGATGAGTATCCGAATTCTCATGTTCCTCATATTGAAGACTTAGCTGAAAGATTTCAAGATGTTTTAAAAGCTGCTGATCAGCCTCTGTATGCTGATTGTGAGGGATACTCTCAGCTATCCGCCGTTACAGAGTTGATGAACATTAAATCTGAATACAATCTTCCTGAATCTTGCATGTCTAGGTTATTGCAGTCATTTGGAGGAATGTTACCGCGTGACCATAATCTTCCTGATTCATATTACAAAATGAAACAATTAATGTCTCAGTTGGGGTTTTCTTGTATAGAAATTGATGCGTGTCCAGAAGGATGTATGTTGTTCTGGAAGGATGATGTGGCACTTGAGACCTGCAAGTTCTGTGGTGGAGAGAGATACAAGCCTGTTCCTCATAGACGAAAAAAACCACGAAAAAGGTCTGCATTGTCTAAATTGTTTTACCTCCCTCTAGCTCCACGCCTGCAGAGGATGTATGCTTCAAATGCTACTGCGAAACACATGACGTGGCATGTTGAGCACGAAACCAAAGAGGGTTTGATGTCTCACCCTTCCGACTGTGAAGCTTGGAGACACTTTGACCGTTGTCATCCTCAGTTTGCAATGGAGCCACGGAATGTGCGACTGGGATTGTGTTCAGACGGATTTGCTGCTTTTGGAAAGTTTGGGAAGAAATTTTCATGTTGGCCAGTCATGCTAACTCCTTATAATCTTCCTCCCGACATGTGCATGAAAAGTCATTTCATCTTTTTAACTTTAATTTGTCCAGGTCCCTCGGATCCTAAAAAAAGGATAGACATCTATCTCCAACCCCTGATCGAGGAGATGAAAGAACTTTGGGCCATTGGGACACCAACTTATGATGTTTCGAGAGATCAAATGTTTATCATGAAAGCTGCCATCATTTGGACCATTAGCGACTTCCCTGCTTATGGTATGCTTTCAGGATGGAGCACACACGGTCTTATGGGATGTCCGATATGTATGGATCAATCAGATGCCAATTGGCTCAAATTTAGCGGGAAACCAAGTTACTTTGATTGTCACCGCAAGTTTCTGCCTATGAACCATCGATATCGAAAGGACAAGAAGTCTTTTATTGCCGGAAGAGTGGTACGAGATCCCCCTCCTCCAAGACTTACAGGTGAACAAGTTTTTAACCGGGTTCGACGTTTTCCTACGGCCGTGCAGCAACCCCACGGGGAGCCAAATGGGTATTGTGATACCCATAAGTGGACAAAGAGGAGTATATTTTGGGAGTTGCCGTATTGGAAGGACCTTCTCATTCGTAACAATTTAGATGTCATGCACGTTGAGAAGAACGTCTTTGACAATATATTTAACACGGTTATGGATTTTACCCACAAAACCAAAGATGGTCTTGCATCTAGAAAAGACATGACAATTTGGTGCGACAGACCCGAACTCGCCGTCGATCTAGAATACGTGGGTAAAAAAATTCCAAGAGCAGTCTACCAACTCACAGCCCCACAAAGGGAATCAATATTAGAGTGGCTTGTTTCTCTGAACTTTCCAGATGGCTATTGTTCTAACTTGTCAAGATGTGTGGACCTGGACAAACAAACAATGACGTCGAGCATGAAAACTCATGATGCTCATGTAATCATGCAACGACTTTTGCCGATTGCACTGAAAGAGATGCTTCCTGCAGACGTCTGGGGCTGTATTACCGAAATCAGTCAATTGTTTCAGTCGATATGTTCCGACGTTTTGGATGCCGAATCCCTGAGGAGACTAGAAGACAATGTTCCTATTCTGATGTGTAATCTAGAAAAGATACTGCCCCCATCATTTTTTGATGTAATGGAACATCTTCTAATACATCTTCCGTATGAGGCTTTGAATGGAGGGCCCGTCTTCTATCGTTGGATGTACAGATTTGAAAGGTTAGTCATAATTTCATTTATAAACGATGATTTGTTTAATAAGAACATTTGTTTGTTTACAAATTTTATTTTGCATGACAGATTTCTGGGAGATTTGAAAAAGAAAGCGACCAACAAGGCACACATTGAGGCTTCAATTTGTCAAGCATATATTCAACAAGAAACCTCAACGTTTTCATCTTTTTATTTTGAGCGTGAAGTAATCAGTAAAAGAAAGAGACCTGCTCGGAACGATGACATTGGCGAGGATTCATATGATAAAGTAGTTTCTATTTTCAACTACCCAGGTAGAGGTAAAGGAGCTGCGACTTACCGCTACATCGTGGGCGGAGAAATGAAAATTGCACATACTTACATTCTCATGAATTGTCCAGAAATCTTACCATTTTATAAGTAAGTTGAATTGGTAGTTACATTTGTAATATAGCTAATATTTTTTTAATAATTAGAGTGTTATAATAATATCTTTATTTTCAATTCACAGTGAATTTAGAGCGTCTTTATCAGCATTTCCTGATGATGCAATTGATGCAATGGTGGACTCTGACTTTGCATTATGGTACCAACAGCAGGTATTATATATATATATATTTATATATATATATATATATATATATATATATACACACATTATATATACTATTAGCTAGTAATTTTTAATCATTACCTAATGTTATCATGTTTTAATTTGCAGATCAGGTACCGTGGGATTAATGACCCTCTGTTAGTATCATTATCGTGGGGCCCTTCTTCCTATGCAAAGGTTTGGCATTCATATGTGATAAATGGTTATACGTATCACACAGTTGAATATGGAGAAGGTCGACCAACAATGAACAGCGGGTTATGTGTCCCGACCATCGGTTCTGATAACTCGGAAACCATTTTTTTTGGTTTCTTGCATGAGATTCTCGAACTTCAAATGCCTTCTGGTTTGCAAGAATTAACATGCGTGTTGTTTCGCTGCACATGGGTCGACCCTACACGTGGTGTGAGAAAAAATTCAAAGTATAATATAATTGACTTCAACCACTCTCGTGTGTATCAGAAAAATGAGTCATTTATACTCGCTCAACAAGCAGCCCAGGTTTATTATGCAGAGTATCCTTCAACGAGGCGCACACGGAATCCTTGGGTGTGTGTCATTAATATCCGTCCGAGCAAAATTGTAACACAGGCTCAACAAAGGGATATTGACTTTGATGCTTTTCAGCAAGATTTTTTCCACCCTCCGCCTATTGCTGATACGGTCAACCATAACATTCAGTTAAGTGACCCAAATGGCGGAGATGTTGAAGTTATGCCTGAAACACACCTTCCGCCCCCTATACCTCAAAATGAGCGTGAAATTGAAGAATTATATATACAACAACTGCACGATGACCAGGAGGAAGAAGAAGAATGGATATCTGGTGATGAAGATACAGAAGAAGAAGTTGCCTATCAAGAAAATACTGATTCTGATAGCGATTAAATGTATAGTTAACAACCAATGTAATTACTTTTAATTGAACTATTTTAATTTGAATTTTTAACTTTCTTTCGTCATTATTATATTATTCCAAGATATAATAGTTAGGTATGTAATTCGCAACTATCATTTCTAAACAAAATAATTATTCCATATTATATTGTAAAATAGCGATTAATTAATTAATAAAATTAAGTTTTTAAAATTATTCAATCGAAAATTAGTGGTTCATTATTATCGATTCGGAAATTTAAAATTAATTAGGTAATTTCGAAAATCAAAAATTATTTAAATTTTAAATAATTCAAAATTTAACATTATTTAAAATTCGGAAATTAGTTTTTTAACATTATTTGTTATTAGTTTTTTAACATTACAAAATTTTAATAATTCGAAATTTAATAAACAAGAACATGAATTTATTTATTAAATTTAAAAACTAAGTAGAAAACACACAATTTTTTATCATTTATTACATTCAACAACTCACAATACAGATAAACAAATAAACACAATATTATTCATTAGCGTCAAAACTTTCATCTAGAGACCTATCAAGTAGCTCGTTAATTCTTTCTGCAGCTTCCGCGTTTATAGGTATCATATACTCCGAACATTGTTCTGCACGTAAAAGTGCCCTACGCAAGTTTTTCCCTCGTGAAACGTTGTATGAGTCTGATTCATAGTCTATAATATCGCCAAAGCTTTCAAGCGGTCTACTCATCAGCTCACGGATGCTTTTAACTGCTTCTGCATTTCGAGGCTTCATCAACTGTGTAACTTGTTTTAATCGTTGTACACTTCTACTGATCAACTTCCACACATCTACTTGTGTTAATGTATGAATATTAATGTGTAATGGTTTGATTGTGTTTAAATAATAGTTTATTTGTGTTTTATAATGATGGTTCGATTAGATTATTATTTATTATGATACCTAATGTGTAATGGTGATTAATGATGATTGTTTAACTATTTATTATAAACAATTATTTATTAAGATTATTGTTTAACTATTTATTATTAAGTTTAATTTTTGAAAAAGCGCTGATGTACTCCTAATTTACCATATTTATGATCTTTTTTTGTCACACTTTTAATATTTTATTTCTCATTTTTAAATAAAAAGGATTGATTTTTATCATCTTGGACATTTTAAGGTATTGCACTTGTTTTGGTATATTTTTTTAATTTCAGGGCAATTTGGGGCGTAAATTAATTTCTGAAAAAAAAATAAATATTACTCCCGAGTGAAGACGGAAAAATAATCAAAGTGAAGCGGATCCTTACTTTAACTCTGGAATATTTTATCAAGAAACCCGAAATATACTTCAGAATAAATCAGACTGTCCGCATTAAAATGTACCGGTTAACCGTTGACCAGTTAATTGATCAAATAGCTAACCGGCCAAATAATGCAAGCGGATAAGAGCCAAAACTTTGGCTGACATGTACTGTTCACTCATTATGAGTGAAATTTCATCCACGTACAAGCTCTCAAGAAGGAAAAATAATGAAGTGCAAATGCATTTCATTGATTGGAGTGGAGGGACCTACGAAGCAACTAAAATCAGAATCAACTTCTTCGCTCCAGTCGGCCATCACCGAGAACAGCAGCAACAAGATAGCAACGAAGAAAAGAAATACAACAGAACAAGAGTGGCACTATTCACACAAAGAAATTGAGAACCTGGCAATCGCATCTGATGAAGACTGAAGTAATATCATAGCAAAATAATTACTTATCAACATCTTCATTTCAGAATTTTTATGCTTTAGCCCCTTTTCCTACTACTATATAAAGGGTCATCGTGGAGCTGCAAGAGACACGAATTTGGAGAGAAATCTTCTTCCTCTTTTCTTTAGCTTTGTTCATAGTAGTAGTCATATAATAAAAGTGATTCTGTCAAGAACACTTTCTGTAAATTTCAGTTCGTAATTTCCATTTCCAGAATTTTAGTTCTTTAATTTCAACAATCAAGTTCATTTGGGAAGTATCAGCCAGAATCATTCTCAGCTTAAGGATTTCACTTTCTCTATTCCATCTCATTATTTATGCCATCAGGTTCTTATTCAAATACGCATTTTATTTTCTTTAATCTGTTAAATTAATTATGCCTATCATTACTTTTACTTTTATTTCGTTTACTGTAATTATGTGTAACTAAATTAAGTTAGGTTTGGGCAAGATGTAATTTTTATTATTAATGTTCATACGATAAGAATTGGTTAAAACTATTACTTGGTTAATTTTAGGAGTGTTGGGTTGAATATTCTAATCTGCTAAATACATTATATTGGGAAATGAATATTATCACGGGAGTGAAATTTCATTAAAATACTTTTTATTAATTCACCCACTAAATTGCTACACGGAAGTGTTAAGGAATTTAGGATAATTTGATTTTGTACTTTTTACTGTCTTAATAAAATTACTGCGGGAGCAGAATTAATTTAAGATAGTGTAATCAACTAAGTCGTGGGAACGATTAGAAGATTACCATTTGTAAATCTTTCACACATCTAAAAGTAACTAAGTTAATTAGTTAAATCTTTATTATTATGAACATCAAAATAAAATTACTCTTAGCCCAAGCCTAATTTTCTCTATATCATTAATTGTTAAATTACCAAGTATTGTGATTTATTTTACTCTAGCAATTCCGCATTGACAAAAAAAAACGAGATAAAAAAAATCTGTTCACTTAGCTCCATTGCAAAATGTTATTAATTTGTGATTAGCTAAAAATCAATCGTTAATTCTAGTTCTCTTTTTGAGCCATTCTCTAGCGGAACGATACTCACTTACTCTATACTATATCGTTACAAGCCAATTAAAACATCATTTCCATTCACATTTTTATATCATTTCACACTACACATTTTGGCCTGTCAAGCGCCTAAATTTTAATGGTTATTATTTATTAAATAAACTTTTGAAATAAATTTTTAAAAATGCGTTGAATTTTTAAATTTTTTTTAAAAAAATTTAAACTTTTGTCACAGACTGTTCCGTGACAAAATATAAATTCATTTTATTTTATATACATAAAACTCTGAAATAACGTATTTTTTTTAAAAAAAAAAAATTTTGTCACGGATGGGATCCGTGACAAGTTCAAAATTTTGAATTTTTTGAAAATTTTAAAGCTCCCGCCCACTCTATTCTAAAATTTTCAAATTTTTTTCAAAATATTTTGTCACGGATATGTCCGTGACAAAATTTAAAATTTGAATTTTCTGGACCGTTTCAAATACCCGCCCACTCTATTTTGAAAAACCTTTTTTTTAATTTGTCACGGATATTTCCGTGACAAATAATTATTTTTTTTTGAAAAATAAAAAAAATTATTCACGGATGCGTCCATGACAAATGAAAGACGATGGGGTTCCGGTGAAGTGTTTTGTCACGGACGCCGTCCGTGACAAATCCGTGACAAACAGTCTCACGGATTAATTTCCGTGACAAAAACGTTATCACGCCCCTGGTGTCACGGATTTTTTCCGTGACAAATCCGTGACAAAAAATCATTTGTCACGGATTTTTTGAACTACCGTCCCTGACAAAATCCGTGACAAACGGCGTGTTTTTTTGTAGTGTAACTGCGGGTAACCGTATTATTCACTCTATCATAGATATTTTAATATAAAAATTATTATATTAAAAGACAAAAAAGTGGCATCGCCTAGATGACTCTGGACATGAGATGCCACATAACAGTTCTGTGCATCTACATGACAAGAAAGAAGGCAATCTAAATTAATTTGAACGCAAAAATACTTAAATTGAAAAATAATTAATCAAGAAAAAATGTGATAATAACCAAACGAGACTATTAAAATTTAATATGAACGTTCAGTTAGCACATCCATATATACACAATGAAAAGAGAAAAATCTCATCTTTTATTAATTGTGGGCATGCATGTATGAAACCGTAACCGCCATGTTTTTCGTAAAAATAAAACGGATATTCTTCACCCATACCCGTTACCCGGGAAATGAGATTTTTCTCATTCTGATCAAAGCGGTTCAATGCAGGTATCATCGGATCAGTAACAATTGTCATCCCGATATGTGATTATGCAAAAAAAATGGTGTGAATGATATGTTACAAATAACACCTGGCAAGAGTATCTTACCTATCAAAATACAATTTGAAACTTTCAATTTCAATTTGAAGTATGATAGATAAGACTACCCTTGCCAAATCTTATTATTATACACAAGAATCCCACATTTAAATGATTAGATTTGAAACCTAATGTTTCCATTTGAAATTAAAAACCCTTGAAAATCCACAATACCGCCGGTGTGGGTGAGATGCATTTAGGTGCAGTTTTATTTCTTCTTCTCGTCACCTCTCGCATTTTGGCATCTTTCTATCTCTAGATTTGTCACTCCATTTTGGCATCTTATTTGTCACTGGTTTAGGCTCTGAAGGGCTTCCATTTTGGTTTGATTAGGGTGAATTGAAGGATTTGGAAGAGTCAAAAGCTTTGAACCCTTCTTCTAGATTTTCTGGAAATTTAATTCCTAGCTATAGCCTGAGATTGATTCTTCGAATTCCATCCATCACATACGAAGTATATCCTTTTATACTTCATGTTAGAATAAGATGGGATGAATTACGAAGACACTTGAAAAACAGCACAGCAGGTATGTATAATTGATAATTCCTGGATGATTGATTGGCCGGTTGAACTTAAACGAGTTCTAATTCAAACCTTAAATATTGGACATAGCATTTCCACAAATTCAAGATCCCCACAATGCTCTGTTTATCCTAGGGAAGGGTAAAAAAACCCATATAACCGATTAACGGAATTAAAAACTCGCGGTATGATTAACCAACCATAATGAAAAAGCGGTTTATGATACGGTTACGGTTGAATTAATGTTAATGTCGGTTAATCGGTAAGTGAAATTTTGATTAATATTATTGTATAATAATAAAGTAAGTAATTGACATATATAGGAGTATAGGACTAAAACGTGGTAGTTAAAACATGGTAGTTGTGCAAGAATAGAACCTTATGTTTTTTTGTTCCCCAAAGCAAGATTCATGGTTGTCCAAAGCTTTGACCCCTTCTTGATATTTCGGAAAAGGAAATACCTAGAGTTTTGTTAGAGATACCCTATTTGGTACCACATTTGTATCTCCTTCCTATATTTGTGGTTCACAAAAGTCAAAATATTAAATGAATTGCTCCATTTTAATGAAGTGCCTTTGTGAACCACAAATATAGGAAGAAGGTAGAGGTACAAAATAGGGTAAAAATTGGGATAACAATAGCATTTGTGAATACCTATAGCCTGAGATTGATTCTCTCGAATTCCATCACATCCAAACCAGAGAGCATGTCCCTCCCAAAAATGTTGAAAAGGTTAGTCATAATATGAGATTGACCTTCATATAGAAAAAGCTTAAAAGAGAAATCAAGAGTATTCCATTCAAATGCTAGAAAAGGAATCCATTTGAAGCTCACAAGTCATAACTTCCAGAATGAGGAGGAAAAGAAAGGCCCCCATGCTCCAGCCGCCACCAATGTTTTATAATGTCATAAACATTTGAAATTGATGGACATCATTTGCAACATCTTACACAATTGAGAGACTAAAGTTCTGCAAATGCTAGAAGACATTTGCTAAATTATTTAAGACACAAACATAAAAAATAAAAAATATATATACTAGTATTTCACAATTAGTGGATGACATCTAACTCCTTAAGGAGTAACGATACCATCAATCTTTTAATTCAATTTATAAAGGTGAATGAAGATTAATTACATCAATGGTTTCATATAGATATCAAAGTACATTCTTGATATTATTCCAATGACAATGTACGTTGTGTTGGCCTTGAACTATTTTAAAATAACACGATCTTGAGAATGTAATATTTGATCAAGTGTGTATATCAAAGTACGATAATGCGCATATTGTACTTACCTAGGGAATTCTCTCTTTGCCAATAACTTTTCAATAATGGATCTTTGAAAATTATGTATACACGTATATTTTGTAGAAATAATACCTAATATATGAGCAAAATAAAGACAACAGATAAAGATGCAACTTATTAACTTTTAGTGACCTAGCATTTATAGCTGCTATACATAGCAGCCATTCTTCCATTGTAATCGATATAACTACTTCATTGAATACATACTCACTCTCTCTTGCTTGTTCCGACATCTCTCTAGACACCTACAACGGTATGCTCCGGATATACTATCCGTCATAGAGCTATTTTAGCGCTGACTTTAAGTATTGTAGATGAAGTAAATGATTACATGATAAGCCTGAATACACATAAACCTTCAAGAACTTATCTCAGCTCGGACAGTGTGTCACTAGTAGAAAAATGTCAATTAGAGGCGCCTTTTTTCGACCGCGTGCGGCGCTTTAAAGCGCCTCTAATAAATGTGCCGCAAATCATTATTAGAGGTGCTTTCTAATTCAGAAGCGCCTCTGATTTATTTTTTTCCCGGAAAGCTTGCGGCGCTTATTAAATGAGAAGCGCCTCCAAATTTTTCATGCGTGCGGCGCTTATAGGTCAGAAGCGCCTCAAATTTTGTTTTGTTTTAATTTCTGTTTGTGGCGCTTATAGCACAAAAGCGCCTCTAATTTATTTTTTTGTAAAATTTATTTATTGTTGTGAATTTCAGTAGATTTAGAAGTTATTGAAACGACTGCATCATTCCAAATATTCATTCAATCAAATTTAAATGTAACAAAATAGAGATAATCTAGAAATTGTTATAAATAACACCAAATTTTTTATTTATAATGTTAACTCACAATAGTGCTCGGAACACAATAGAATTAACACATATACATTACATCTGGAAAATAATCTAGATTAGATATTCTAAATATATCATTGAATTCTTCCAGTGCAAATGATCATCTCCTTGGACTCTAAATCTGAATGTCTGTACCACAATTAAAAATGAACTCAAAATTATAATGAGTTGTTTACGGTTGACAACACAGCTTATCAAAATGATAATGAGTTGTTTACGGTTGAAAACACAACGTATTAAAATCTGTGATGCCATGGTGAATTAAACCGAGATGCCATGGTTGCTTATGTCATGTTTGAAAACCTAGAAAACAGAATTAAAATGTATATATAAATAAGTCTGTGATGCTACACCAGCAAGGCAGCAACAAACACAGCAAACCAGATCTCCTCGCCTGGAGCAACGTTCACACATCATTTTAATTCTCACAAACTAGTAAAACGTCATCATCTCAAGTTTTCTTAAACTGAATTTTCTTAAAACACCAACATAAAAAATCTTAATAAACTGAATTACAAGAAAAGCAACTGTACAGTTTCAATACCAGTAGCGCAAATAATCAAGTCATAATTTTCTTAAAAACCAACATTCACCAGATAGTCAAGTCAAAAAGTTTCAAGTATGTTATTAGAACCTGAAATCAATATAAGAATCTCATACCAAAGTGATTAAATTTTCACACCTTAGTAAGAATAGCAGACCCAATGTTAAACTAATATATACAATCCACAAATCCAAATACCAATAAAAACATACATGTGCTATAATTTAAAATGCATATACAGAAAATGCTTTTAAATGCTTACATAGTTGAATCCTTTTAACCTCTATCAACCAATGATACCTACAATTTGTATAACAACACAAAAACCAGTAAATGTTAACTCATAATAGAGCAACCAGAAACTTTTTTAATTTTTACAACAAAGGCCAATAATTGTCACAAATATAGGAGAAACTCAAAACAAGTTAGTAACATACATGAAAATAGTACATGAAAGTTGTAAAGGTTACGCATCAAACTTGATACATCATACATAAACCATATTAAATCTTACGGAGTATATACAAGAGAAAATAAAGAAGAAAGCACTTCCTAGTAGAATCATTATGCCGCCGGATCAAATGTACTGGGAATCTATGAATGAAAACCAAGATCTTCTTTTTTTTATTTTTTTTATTTTTTCTTTTTTTACTGCAGGGGTGTCTGGGGGAGGGTGGCGGGGGAGCCTGGAGTAATCTAGGTTGAAACTCACTCCATTGAGTTTCGAACCCGAGACCTCCTGTAATGGAGAGTCCTGTAAGGGAGAGTGAGTCGGCGACCAGCTGGGCTGGATCCCTTCCTCAGATCTTCTATAATTTTATCATCTGCAACCTCAATGAGATAAAATCAATATATAAAACCGTAGTAATTCTATGATCTAAACACAAATTATAGTCAGTTAATGTTAGAAAATAGAAGAGGTTGTTGGTTGTATGAGTAGAATAAGTGATTTTAGTGAGGTGTAATGTAGATGATGTGTTTTAGAGGAGAGCTCTTGTCTCTAGAAAAGTAGTATTGTATTGATGTTTCTTGGTTTTGCTTGGTTTGCAAATGAGTACAATGAGTCCTATTTATAGGAGCTAGAGGATCATTCTAGATCCTTATTAAATGCTATGATTCTAGAGTATTCTACATCTATGTCTAATTACTCTAGATTTTACATAAGAATTCTCTAGTAGAGAATTTTCTAGAATACTTTCTAGCTTTAACTCTCTAGATCATCTCTAGCCTTTTCTACATAGAATATTCTAGATAAATGCATCACTATTTAATACTCCTCCTTGATGCATTTGTCGGTGACTCCAAGCATTCTTCGCAGAAACTGGAATCTGTCTCTTGGCAGGGCCTTCGTGAAAATATCTGCCAATTGTTCTTCTGTTGGGCAGTACTTCATATCAATATGCCCCTTTGCTTGGACATCTCTCAAGAAGTGATACTTGATATCGATGTGCTTAGTACGATTGTGCTGAATTGGATTTTTAGCCATCGCAATAGCTGACTTGTTGTCGCAAAATATTTGAGTCGCAGAACTTTGCAATTCACCCATGTCTTCTAATATTCTTTTTAGCCATATAGCTTGGCACGCTGCTCCGGCTGCTGCAACATACTCGGCTTCGGCTGAAGATAGTGCAACAGAATCTTGCTTCTTTGATCCCCATGAGAAAATTCCCGAACCCAGCTTAAATGCGTAACCGGAGGTGCTTTTCATGTCATCTTGAGATCCAGCCCAATCACTGTCGCTATATCCAGTTAGTCGTGAGTCAGGAGTTGTTTTGTACCAAATACCATAATTGATGGTTCCTTGTAGATACCTAAGGAGTCTCTTTGCCGCTCCATAATGAGTCTCAGTTGGACTTTCCATGAACCTCGAGAGCAAACTTGTAGCATACATGATGTCCGGCCTCGTAGCCGTTAAGTAGAGTAGACTCCCAATCAAACTTCGGTAATTGGTTGCATCCGTCTGCTTTGACCCATCTTCTTTCTTCAATTTTTCATTAGGAACCAGTGGAGTAACGACGGCTTTGCAGTCTTGCATTTTAAACTTCTTTAGCATGTCCTTAATATATTTTTCTTGAGATAAGAATATGCCTTCTTCTTCTTGACTTATCTCCATGCCAAGAAAGTAGTGCATTAATCCCAAGTCACTCATCTCAAAAGTGTTCATCATGTCTCTCTTAAATTCTTCAATTAATTTGGAATTATTTCCCGTGACAATTAAGTCATCAACATATAGAGAGACGATGAGAATGTCAGATTTACCTTGGGATTTGATGTATAGTGTAGCCTCGTTCTTACTCCTCCTGAACCCTTGACGGGTGAAGTATCCATCAATCTTGCTATACCACGCTCGTGGAGCTTGTTTGAGCCCGTAAAGCGCTTTCTTTAGACGAAGAACTTTTCCTTCTTCTTTGATGAATCCTTCTGGTTGCTCCACATACACTTCTTCTCGTAGCTCTCCATTTAGAAAGGCTGACTTGACATCTAGCTGATAAATTTTCCATTTCTTCTGAGCAGCAAGAGCTATGAGTGTTCTTATTGTGTCCATCCGGGCAACTGGTGCAAACGTCTCTGTGTAGTCAACTCCCGGTATTTGAGCATACCCCTTTGCAACCAGCCTTGCCTTATGCTTCTGAATTGAGCCATCGGGGTTCAATTTTGTTTTATACACCCATTTGACTCCAATAACCTCCTTGTTATGTGGAAGATCTACCATTTCCCAAGTATCATTCTTTTCTATCATTTTGATCCCCTCCTCCATTGCTTTAATCCAAACTTTTTCTTTGGAGGCTTCGGTGTAGCTATATGGCTCCAAGGAGCAAAAGTTGCATGTTTCATAGATGTCAGTAGACTCATATAGGTCTGCTAGAGTTCTTACCCGAAGAGGTGGGGACTCTGGTGAGGAGCCGTGATTTCTTGATGTATTAGCTTCAAAAGAGGATCTTGGAGTAGACGTGGGGCTTTGTTGATCGTGATTTTCCTCTTCTGGTATTTCCTCTAGTTGGACAGTAGTTGTCTTTCTTTCAACTTTTTCTGTCTCCCAATTCCAAGAGGCTTGCTCGTCAAACTCCACATCTCGACTTGTCACCAACTTCTTTGTCTCGAGATTGTAGATTCGATATCCCTTGGATTTGGAGCTATAGCCAAGGAAGATGCCCTTCTCTGTCTTGTCTTCTAATTTGTGCCTTTTAACAGAGGGAACATGAATGTAGCATATGCTTCCGAAGACCTTCAAATGTTTGGCTGAAGGCTTTTGTCCAGACCATGCCTCAATAGGTGTTTTGTTTAAAACCGCCTTAGTTGGACACCGGTTTAGAAGATAGACTGAAGTATATACTGCCTCTGCCCAGAACGTTTTAGGCATTCCTTTTTCAGCTAACATAGACCTTGCCATCTCCATGACTGTGCGGTTCTTCCTTTCGGATACCCCATTTTGTTGTGGAGTGTATGCTACTGTTAGTTGATGCTCTACACCTTCATCTTCACAGAACTTGTCAAATTCTTTTGAGTTGTATTCGGTACCTCGATCGCTTCTCAACTTCTTGATTTGATGACCACTCTGTTTCTCCACGAAGTTCTTGAATCTCTTGAATATTCTAAAGACTTCGGATTTTTCTTGGAAAAAATACACCCATGTCATCCTAGAGTAATCATCGATGAAGAGTATGAAGTACCTGTTCTTCGAAACTGAAGGCGTGCGCATTGGACCGCAAACATCGGTGTGGACAAGCTCTAGTATCTGTTTGGCTCTCCATGTCTTTTCTGTTGGAAATGGTTGCCTGTGCTGCTTCCCAACCATACATCCTTCACATACTCCTTCTTTTTCATCCAGTAGAGGCATGTCTCTCATCATCTTCTTTAGGTGTAGTAATCTCAAGGCATTGAGATTGAAGTGCCCAAATCTTCGATGCCATAGACTCGTATCACTCAGTTAAGCCACCATCGCCTTTTGTGGATATTGCCATTGAATAGGAAAATTTCTATTATTTCCCATTTTTACTTCAGCAATTTCTTGATTATTGTTCTTGTCATAAATTCGGCAAGAATTTTTCTCAAAGTGCAAGGCATATCCACTTTCCATCATTTGGCCAACACTTAGTAGATTTTGTGCAAGGCGTGGCACTAGGAGAACGTTTCTAATACAGTGCGTACCTTTCTTTGTATCTATGACAATGGTACCTTTCCCCTTTGCCTCCACCAAATCGCCATTGCCCATCTTGACTTTTGTCTTGATAGAGGTATCTAAGTCATGGAAGATGGTCTCGTTGGATGTCATGTGATTGCTGCACCCACTATCGATGTACCACTCTTCTTCTTTTGCTTCTATGGCTGAGTGACATGCGTAGAACATGTACTCCTTCTCCTTAAAATCTTCAAAATAGTTGGCCTGATAGTTTCTTCTATCTCTGCAATCTTTTTCTTCATGCCCGAACCTCTTGCAATTTCTGCATTGTGGCTTTCCTCGATGGTAGCAATCTTTCTCTAAGTGATTAGTCTTCTTGCATATTTTGCATGGTGGAAAGTTCGTCTTCCTCTCCTTGTTAGAATTCCTATCTTTATGTGGTTTAAAGTTTTCACCATTTCTCGAGTGATTCCTTTTAATGTTGAGCTTAGACTGGAAGGCACTTTCTAATGAACTTTCGTGTCGTCTGTTTAGCCTTTGCTCACGTGCTTCTAGCGACCCCATTAATTCAGTGATGGACATTTTTGATAGATCTTTTGACTCCTCAATAGCCGAAACTACTGGATCATATTTTTCAGGGAGACTGATTAGGACCTTCTGGATTATTCTCTCGTCGGTTATGTTTTCTCCAAGAGTTCTCATTTCGTTGACTATATGTATAACCCGAGAGAAATAATCTTTTGCCATTTCAGAATCTCTCATCTTTAAATTTTCGAGCTCTCTTCTTAAACTTTGTAATTTAATAGTTCTAACTTTCTCATTTCCTTGAAATTCCTCCTTAAGAATATCCCAAGCTTCTTTTGCCGTAGTAGCACGAATTATTCTCGGGAAAATAGTATCACAAACAGATTGTTGAAGAAGATAGAGAGCTCTAGCATTTTGCTGTTTTTGTTTCTTACGTACCTCGGAAGTTGATGCGTCGTCGCTTCCTTTTTCCGGCATGATGATTCCTTCTTCAACAATATCCCAGAGATCATGTGATTCTAGGCAAGTCTTCATACGGACACTCCAATAGTCATAGCTTTCTCCATTGAACATCGGAGTTGATACCGAGAAGCTTGATGTCGTCATAATGCCCGCTTATGATCGAACAAGCTCTGGTACCACTTGTTAGAAAATAGAAGAGGTTGTTGGTTGTATGAGTAGAATAAGTGATTTTAGTGAGGTGTAATGTAGATGATGTGTTTTAGAGGAGAGCTCTTGTCTCTAGAAAAGTAGTATTGTATTGATGTTTCTTGGTTTTGCTTGGTTTGCAAATGAGTACAATGAGTCCTATTTATAGGAGCTAGAGGATCATTCTAGATCCTTATTAAATGCTATGATTCTAGAGTATTCTACATCTATGTCTAATTACTCTAGATTTTACATAAGAATTCTCTAGTAGAGAATTTTCTAGAATACTTTCTAGCTTTAACTCTCTAGATCATCTCTAGCCTTTTCTACATAGAATATTCTAGATAAATGCATCACTATTTAATAGTTAACATTAAACGGTGAAATTATAGACTAACAAAGCAATAAAATTTAGTTTTCTGACCCACACTACAAAGACAGTACGGATGAAGCAGCGGAGCCGGCGCTATGGGAGGCGGAGACAGCACATCAGCCGGTCAGACATCTTTGATGACGGTATAAAGGCGAAGTCGGTGTTCTGGCGCTGAGATGGTGTTAACAGCAGTTCGGGGCAACACCGGTCACCAGCGGTGACGAGGTGGAGGCAACGCAGCTAGCTAACGGTGGCTTAGTATCGGTGTCAACTCGGTGGTCGCTAAGCTTCGTTCGTCGCTGCGGTGGTCGTTCAGATTCATTCATCGTTGTGGTGGTCTCTAGGTTCCCACTCTACTCTATCATACCTCTGCTCATCCTCACAAAGCGATCTATTAGGTTTAACCTCTTAAAGACCCTTATGATCTAAAAAGCCCATTCGAATGTTCGGAACCCCATTAAAGACGTAGAGGCGTTTCTTCCTAAAAAAAGCGCCGCACGCGGAAATAAATAAATTCGAATAAAGTATTCTTTTAAGTGTAGAGGCGCTTGTTTCCTCAAAAGCGCCGCATAGAGAATATATTTCTAATAAAATAAATTCGAATAATTTATATGAGGCGCTTATATGATTAAAAGCGCCGCACGCGGTAAGAAATCGATTTTTAAACATTCAGATGCGTTTTGTTATAAAAACGTCTCAAATGAAGCGCCTCTATTTACACTTTTTCCACTAGTGTGTGCAAATCGGACTGCAATGTAGATCTATTAGGAGTCTTGCATTCACCAGAATTTTTGATCAAAATTCGACTAGCTCTCAGGTATACCTAATCATGAGTTCACTTTAAAAGTTGGGATGCCGGTCATGCTTCTTCGAAATATAGATCATTCTATGGGTTTGTGCAATGGAATAAGACTTATAATAACAAGGCTTGGTGACCACATATTAGGGGCGGCAAGAGTTCTCACTCGTAGAAGTATGGGTCAAGAGATGCTAATTCCAAGATTATCATTGACTCCATCTGATGTCAGACTTCCCTTCAAGTTTCAGCGGAGACAATTTCCTATCATGGTTGCTTACGCCATGACGATAAATAAAAGTCAAAGGTAATCTCTTTCATATGTTGGATTATTGTTAAAGAAACCTATTTTTTGTCATGGGCAACTATATGTAGCAATTTCTAGGGTTACTAATCCGAAGGGGTTGAAAATTTCAATTATTGACAATAACGAGAAAACAACAAATGAGACCACAAATGTTGTGTACAAAGAAGTGTTCTAGAAACTGTAATTGTTTTGGATATTAATTATTGTTAATGCTTTGAAATCTTCTTGATGGTCATCAATTACATATTAAATTTTTTGATATATTTTTTTCGTATAAAAATTATTGTTTCCAATATTGCATGACCATGTATATCGACCGTGCAACACACGAGTGAAATACTAAGGGAGAACTATCAAATAAGCCCTTGAACTTTCATAAAAAGTGCAAATAAGTCCTTTTATAGGAGGCACTGTCCGGCCGTCACCATTTGGAGCGGTTTCCGGTGAATTTTTTTGATGAAATTATTTTAATATATTATTCATTAAGTCTAGTTTACTCATACCGAATTTCACATAAAAATTCAATCGGGAAGACAGTCAAATGATTTTTTGAAGATAAGTGCGCAGTTAGGCAGCACAGTATATTTCAGAAAATCATTCGACTGTCTTCTCGATTGAATTTTTAGCTGAAATTCGATATGGGTAAACTAGACGTAGTGAAGAAGATGCTCAAAAAAATTCATCAAAATCTTCCACCGGAAACCGCCACAAAATGGAGACAGCAGGACAAAGCCTCCTATAAAAAGGCTTATTTGCACTTTTTATGAAAGTTCGAGGGCTTATTTGATAGTTCTCCCAAATACTAATACCTATAATATATACAAATATTACAACGTCATATCTATCTAAATAGCAATAGTAAGTGGTTCTTTGTGTGAGCATCGTCTTTTGTTTTATATTCCTTAGGGAAAACTGTTAAATTGGTCCTCGAACTTTCATAAAAAAGTCAATTAAGTCCTTCTATAAGAGATTTTGTCCGGCCGTCGCGATTTGGGGCGGTCTCCAGTGGAATTTTTTGATGCATTTTTTTGAGCATCTTATTCATCAAGTCTAGTTTACTCATTCCAAATTTCAGCTAAAAATGTAATTGGGAACGTATTCAAATCAATTCGAGAACGCAAAAACGCACAGTTATCTTCACGAATTAATTTGAATGTGTTTCCGATTGAATTTTTAGCTAACATTTGGTATGAGTAACTAGACCTGATGAATAAGATGTTTAAAAATTTTCATCAAAAAATTCCACCGGGAACCGCCTCAAATCACGACGGCCGGACAGAACCTCTTATAGAAAGACTTAATTGACCTTTTTATGAAAGTTCGCGGACCTATTTGACAGTTTTTCCAATTCCTTATATATGTATAGAAAGTTGGAACACTCGTAGAGCATGCATGATTTTATTAATTCCAAATTTCTAACCAATTTTATTTGCTGCAAAATTTAATCTTTGAGGAGTTCCAAATATTTATATGCTACAAATAATGCTTATGCAAGAAAGTAGACCCTGATTGTGCAACTTCGAAATCCTTGTATTTCTGAATCAAAGAATCAGGGACTAGCTTTCTTACATAAATATTAGTGTACAAATTAATCTCAATTACTTGACTTAGATGTTATACATAGTGTTTTTCCAAGTGAACTTAAAAACCCTTCGATCCGCACAACTTAGCCGGTGTGGTAATACATTTAGGAGCCGTTTTATAATAATAATAATAATAATAATAATAATAATAATAATAATAATAATAATAATAAATAAATAAATAAATAAATAAATAAATAAATAAAATCGTGGGTCATGTGAATGTTTAATCATTCAGGTCTTCAGGATCAGTTTTATTTCTTCCATCCCTCGAGCTTCTCTCTCGTCGAGCAAAATAATGCTTCCATGTGCAAAATAGTGGTACTTTTATTTCTTAAGTATTTATAATTTGAAGTTTTAGGCTTTTAGCCATGGAATAAGGCAAATTATACCGTGCAACCGGCGCAACCGGCGCACCATGAGGATGGTGCGCCCGGTTGCAAAACGACGCAGCTTACCCTTTTTTTTTGCTTTTGTTGTTAAAAAATGATGATAACTTTTTTATTTTTGATCCGATTTTTATAAAATTTATATCAACATTTTTTATTTTTCATGATCTTTCAAATGAGACCAATATTGCTTATGTAATTTTAAGAAATTATCGAACTATTATATTAATGAGTATTGGATTATAAGGAAAATCGAATCTGTTTGGGAGATGATAGGTTTGTGAAATAGAAGATCGAATCTGTTTGGGAGTGGATCAGTGGCCTCGGTTACATTTGATAATACATTGAGTTACATCTTTTTATGAGCGAGTTACATCTTTTTATAAGCAAGTTACATCTTTTTATAAGCAAGTTACATCTTTTTAAAAGCGAGTTACATATATATAAACACGAGTTGCATTTGACATGCCTGAACGCGACTTACATATATTTACACGTAAAGTTACATATTTTTACACGTAAAGTAACATATTTATACACGCGAGTTACATATTTATACACACGAGTTGCATTTGACCTGTCTGAACGCGAGTTACATATTTTTTTACGTAAAGTTACATATTGTTACACGTAGAGATACATATTTATACACACGAGTTGCATTTGGCCTGACTGAACGTGAGTTACATATTTTAACACGTAAAGTTACATATTTTACACGCAAATGTTAATATGTTAAAATTACATAGGCAATATTGGTCTCATTTGAAAGATCATGAAAAATAAAAAATGTTGATATAAATTTTATAAAAATCGGATCAAAAATAAAAAATTTATTACCATTTTTTAATAAAAGGAAAAAAATATAAATCCGTACCGGTATACGGTGCTCACCGTATACCGGTCGTACGGTATAGGCACTCATGGAATAATGTTGAAATCATTTATTAATTTCCATGTATTCAATTATTTACTTCTTGTATATACAATTATTCCCCTTCCTTATACGTAGATCACTTTTTAATACCCTACCTTATTAGTTAGTATTACCGTTATAGGAATGTTGTATATATATTGCTATATTTTACATCAATAATAATATGACATTCTCAATTTACAATTCATTACATGGTATCAGACGTATCTTTCTCTCTACTGCATGTTATATGTATGTACAATATTCTGCATGCAAATTAAATGAAATAATAATTAAATAATTAAATAATTAAGGAAACATGTATAATTACTTGTAACCGAGTTCAACTTAAGCGTTGTTTCCTTAAGAAGTTTTTGCCCGACACACGTAGCAATCGTCTCCCAGGATAGAATGGTTCTTCGCTCCCAACGGGATTCCGGCGAACTCAAAGATGCAACGAAGGAAGAGATAATATGGAGGATTGTGTGATGATTTTCGGATTGATTGAAAATGCTAGCAGTCATGGGTATATAGAGCTCTGGCCAGAAGACTCTACACCCAAAAGACACCTTTAAAAAGAAAGGTCGTGACCCTCCTTCTAAAACCAATGGATGTGTCTATTGCCAAACATTATCCAAAATTAAGAGCGACTAATAGAATTATCTTTAAGTCATATACTCGGGAGGACGGTTTAAGACTCTAACCTGAAACCCGACCCGGCCTACTGAACGGCGGTGACGATGTTTGCGTGTGAGATATAATTTCACACTTATCTTTCGGGAAACAATTTCTCATTCATTTCAAAATGATTTTTACAAATAATATTAATGACCATAATATTAATTTGTAAAATCATTTTTCCAACAATCCCCCCACATGAATGGGAAATTGGCTTAAAGACATGAAACATATTGGAATTTGAAATGGGAAGATGGGAACTCTGCATAGGGTTAGGTAGTCGTGAAACTTTGAACCTACCTCAGTGTATATCCATCGGATTTACTGGACAATCGGTAGCACTTTGCTTTGAACCGTTAGCCAATGTGTAAACCTAGACAATGAATAACACACAGAGTCCCGAGTGCATCTTTGGTTCTCACGTTTGTGTTCGTTTCGACCGTGAACACCTCCTGGTTCAGCTAGTGTTTTCGAGAGTTTAACGTGCACCGAAGAATTTATCTCGTGCCATAAACTCTCATAGAAGCGGCCTTCTTCCACCAGCATAGGTAATCTCTATGGAAGGTATCATGTCATACCTTACTTGAACGAATCAAGATATAGAGATCATTAAAAGCATAACTTACCCTAAATGCTCTTGGCATGAATGTACTATATCTTGGCTAGTACCGCCCGAGCCAGTCGACGGTTGTGTTTTCCCTTTGAACCTAATTGATGGATAGTGTACCCGGGGGGTAGCTTATCCGAGGGGTTATTGCGGAGAATAACTGGAGAGAAGTCAGAGCAAATAAGTAAGAGAGAGAGTGTTGATTCGATATGTATTAAGCGTGGTTTACAATGAGGGAAATGGGTGCTATTTATAGTAGTAATAAATGCTAGATAAGGACACGTGTCAGTTTTCTGGTGGTCGAGGGGTCACCTCGACCGGGGTGGCACTGGCACTCGCATGTGGCCGCATTAAATGCGGTGGTTGGATGTGACGTTTGTACTTGGTACGGTGATCCAGGCGCATGTGAAGAGGATATTCTGTCGAGGTGGATGCCTTCGGCTGAAGGGTGCTTGGCCGAAAGCTCTTCTAACCGAGGGCTCCTACCCGCCGAGGGTTGCAGGTGCCGAAGGCTTGGTTTTCAAGCCTTGTTCTCTTGTGATGCCTCTTCTAACCGAGGGCTCCTACATGCCGAGGGATGCAGTTGCCGAAGGCTTGGTTTTCAAGCCTTGTTCTCCTGTGATGCCTCTTCTAACCGAGGGCTCCTACCCGCCGAGGGCTGCAGTTGTCGAAGGCTTGGTTTTCAAGCCTTGTTCTCCTGTGATGTTTCTGAGCTCGATTCCGTCACTGGTAGCCTTCGGCCATGGGGCCGAAGGCACCCCTTTGCGTATTGTGGGCTGCTTAGATCTCCATTTTTCTGGGCTTGGCCCGTTTGGGCCTGATGGGCCTGATTGTAGTAGAGGAAGTATGTGGGCCGGGGTCCCTGGGCCATATACTCCATCAGGAGTCCCCCACTCCTTTTGCCGAAAGGTACTTGAGGGAAAAGGAGTAGCTGTGGTGATTTCCCCGAAGGCTTCCCTGTTCTGTTGGGTGCCTCATTTTCTCAATTCCCCCATATGTCGAGGGCTGAGAGCTTCGTGAAGAGAGTGTAAGTGTGTTGCTCGTATGTGTTTCTTTGTTGTAGTTTGTAAAGTAATGAGAGATCTACATTTGTGTGCTTTGCCGAGGGCATTTGTTGACTGAAGGCTTTGTGTGGCCGAAGGCATCATGTGGCCGAAGGCATCATGTGGCCGAAGGCATTGTGTGGCCGGAGGCATCATGTGGCCGAAGGCATTGTGTGGCCGGAGGCATTCTGTAAGCCGAAAGCATCATGTCGAGGGGAGTAGATTGCCATTGTGATCTTGCCTCAGTTTGCTGTAGCTGAGAAATAGAAAATTTTTAACATTTGCGTGTTTTGCCGAGGGGAGTCCCCCAGTCCCCCACTCCTTTTGCCGAGAGTTTCTCGAGGGAAACAGGAGTAGAGTGATGCATGCCTTCAGCAGGAGCCGCCGGGGGGTGATGCCTTTTGTTCCACAATGGGGAGATGCCTCGTTAAAAAACCTCATTAGGAAAAAACCTTGTGGGAAAAAAAATCCTAATGAGGGAAAAAGAGTACACCGGATGCCCCCAGAATGAAGCAAAAGGAATGCACCCTTCGGCCTAGATTTTTGAGCGGTGGTTGTGTCCGTCTGCTGAGGGGATATCGAAGACTAGCCTTAGATCCTGCATGAAAAAGCTGAGGAGCTTGTAAGGACCCCCCGTTATCAAATAAAGGTGACAGAGGGGTGCAAGGCCAGGTGGGCCTGTGTGAGAGCCCCTGGCATCAAATACAGATGCCGGAGGGATGGAGACCGAGGGGCCTGTGTGATTGCCCCCGACATCAAATAAATATGCCGGAGGGGTGAAGGCCGAGGGCCTGTATGATAGCCCCTGGCATCAAATAAAGATGTCGAAGGGATGAAAGCTAGGCTGAGGGGCCTGTATGACAGCCCCTGACATCAAATAAAGATGCCAGAGGGATGAAGGCCGAGGGACCTGTGTGATTGCCCCCGACATCAAATAAAGATGTCGGAGGGATGAAGGCCGATGGGCTTGTATGATAGCCTCTAGCATCAAATAAAGATGCCGGAGGGATGAAGGCCGAGGTACCTGTGTGATTGCCCCCGACATCAAATAAAGATGCTAGAGGGATGAAGGCCGATGGGCCTGTATGATAGCCCCCGACATCAAATAAAGATGTCGAAGGGATGAAGGCCGAGGGACTTGTGTGATTGCCCCCGACATCAAATAAAGATGTCGAAGGGATGAAGGCCGATGGGCCTGTATGATAGCCCCCGACATCAAATAAAGATGTCGGAGGGATGAAGGCCGAGGGCCGTTGTGATGTGGAATCATGCTGAGGCCGAGGGCCGTTGGTGATGTGAGATCACGCTAAGGCCAAAACCATTATGACATAGGGTCATGTTGAGGTTGAGGGCCGTCTGATGTTGAGGCTGAGGGCCATTGTGATGTCCTCACGCTGAGGCCGAGGGCCGTTGTTGATGTTGAGGCCGAGGGTCGTCTGATGTTGAGGCCGAGGGCCATTGTGATGTGGAATCACGCTGAGGCCGAGGGCCGTTGGTGATGTTGAGGCCGAGGGCCGTTCTGATGTTGAGGCCGAGGGCCGTTGTGATGTGGAATCACGCTGAGGCCGAGGGCCGTTAGTGAGGTGAGATCACGTTAAGGCCAAAACCGTTATGACATAGAGTCATCTTGAGGCCGAGGGCTGTCTGATGTTGAGGCCGAGGGCTGTCTGATGTTGAGGCCGAGGGCC